GAAACTTTAACAATGTTTGTTAAATCCTTACGATGTATATACATTGTAGATCACCCAGAGATGAATATTCTGGAGTTCCACTCACTCCTCCCAAGATCAGTACATCCGTTTTTGGGAGATACTAGAGAGAAAGCAGCTTCAGGCAGCTTGAGCCCAAATTGCCAGTATTTATGTCAGTCTAAATATGCCCTTCTCAGAGGTTGGTCCCTATTCTAAGGTCGGTGCAGTGCAGAACATTTCCTAGGGACAGGGCCTGGATCACAGAAGAAGCAAGTATGTGGTGTTCCCCTACCAAACCTAAGGGTTGGAACAAGATACAGTAATTGTGCTGTGCTAAAGAACTGGTTGAGAGTATGTAGCGTTATTCCTGCAGGAGCCGCTGGAATACTGTCCAGGTCCTCCCCAAATACCTAATTCTCTAATTTCTCCAATAATCAGTCTAGGGGGGTGTTGGTAGCTATATCAGAGTCAGTGCTTGAATGAAATAGTGGACTTCAGCTTTAAGAAGTAGCAATAGTCATTTCTTTAGAGTCCAGAGCAGTGTCCCTTTAAGTAGTTGTGGGCAGAAGGACAAGTTCTTCGGAAAACACCAGCTGGTATTCTCATTGCTAAACCCGCAGCTGACCTCCAAGCACCAGAGGGGGGAAAACAGCACACAGTCTCTAAGGTCCTTAGGGATGTCTGTACTCACAAGACCCAAGAGACACTGGACGCCTTCTCTATGATGCCAGACCAGATCTCCAGGTGATGACCCCTCAATCAGTGTAGCAGAACCTGGGTCTACGCAATTGAAGCCCCTAGATAGCCCTGGTCTTGGTATCGGTGCCAATACCGAGTACTTGCACGAATACTCATACTCGTGCAAAATGTTCCCGATACCCAAAACAGTACCTTTGTAGTGCGATCTGAGCCCATATAAAATGATGAACTCACACTGCAGAAGAATCGCATGCAATTTGAACAGGAATGCACTGTGATTCCTGTCCAAATCGCAAGCGGTTTCCCCACACCGCTCCAGTGTGATCCACTCTAGGAGACCGTGTACATTTTTGTTTATTAAAAATCTTACAAACAACCAACATAATAAAAAAAAATACATATATACAGAATAAATAAAATAAATATATATAATTAAACAAAAATAGCTTACTTCAGCATAGAAAACAGGAAACAGCTTTTTTTTGCCGGATAAAACATAAGCAGAACCAATCATATTTTACTATTATTATCATCTTTATAATGTATCTCAGCAAACCCGACCATCACCTAAACCTCCCTCCTCAGGCTAAGAAACGATGAAACATTTATCCCATGCATGCAGCCTTTTTTCAAACATCTGATCTTACAAAAATCAAGGGGATGTGAAAGGACAGAAAGAGAAGCCACGCCCCCGAGACTGACAGAAAGCAGCTCCAAGCCGCCACCCATCCTTCTCAAGACCCCGAATCTTTCCAACCTCACCCAGAATGTTGTTCACCACCACCTCGACAGGAAGGACTTTTTTGCGAATGGAAACCTGACACTGTGCATTCCCCATGTGTAGTAACGGACTACTAAGCTAACTAGAAAAAGTGTCTTAAAAAAAAGTCCTGGTGGGTTTGAAAGGCACCGTAAGGCCACTCTGCGTAACGCAAGTGGGAAAGGAAAGGGACAACCAGTCCCACCCACCCGCTTGTAGACTTCTATATTGAAGGGGCAATGAAGCAAGAAATTGTCCATCATCTCCTCCACCCCACCGCACTCCACTCTTGGACAGGGGCAGTGTAAGTACCTCTACACCGCTGGGGCCTATGAGAGAGGGCTGGCTAGGTGCTATACCCAACCAGTTCTCCCTGGGACAGTGCAAAAAGTCTATTCTAGAATCTTTTGCTCTGGGCTACTCTTTAAAGACAGGCACATGGATGGGCAGTTTCTAGCTGGGGTCTGAAGAGGTTCACTTGGAGGGGACCAAGTGCTCCTCAAAGAAACTTTGTTACTGATCCGTCAAAAGACTGTTGCCACTCTGAAGGGAGTAGAAAGTCCAGGATCCTACATTTCTGTGCAGAATTTAGGAAGTTTGTCTCAGAGTATTGGTCTCAAGTCAAGTTGGGCATCCCATATACCTGTAGACCCTATCCAAGTTGTTTAACCCTAAAAAAACTACAAAAACAAGTCAATGGACTCATTACTGACTTTGAATGAAAGTTGGAAAATGCATGTTGCCTGGTTATGCAGGAAAATAGGGGGATCCAAGCTCAATGGCTCTCAAGGGGGTAGCACTACATATAAAAGGATATGTTTTGTTCATTTTTCATGTCTGAGGTGTCGGTCTAACATTCTGCGCTACATTCACTAAACCTAACCATAAAGCAGAAAGTAAACACCTGACAGACTAACTAAGGTGATAGAAGTGCATACCTAGAGAATAACCAAACACAAGTGAATAAAAATATCCAAACAGACTAGATGCCCTGCTAGGAACACCAAATATGAATAAATCAATAAGTGAAGCTTCAAAATATGTACAAACAGACAATCCGAGTGATATATATCAAGGCATAAATAAAAAAATAATAATAATAAATATATATATATATATATATATATATATAAAACAAAGCACACAAAATAAAAAGAAAATGTGATTATAAACACCCGGCTGAGCCCTCAACCCTGTGACAATCTGTGAATAAATGCCTGTAAATATCTGTATCAATATCTGTAATGCAGAAAAATCTTCAGATCAGCATATATTCCACACGTGACTTGAACAGAGATCCTTAAAAATCCTCCACCAGCTAGTGTGCACGCTCACTTCCAATTTTGACCTATAGGGAATATAGGTATCAACCCGAAATCCAACCAGCTCTCCTCTGTAAGCGTACTTTACTGGCTCCTTCTCCAATTCCTCATCAGAAATCCATGTTCAAAAAAACATCAAAGGACATCTCATAGTGTAATACGTCCATGTTTAATGTATAAAAACCAGGTATAGAATGCTGAAATTTTTAAAATCAGGCCAGGAGACCCATACAAGCATTGGTAATAAAATACATATGAACAGGTGTACCAAGATGGCAGCCGCCGTCCGACTAGAAATAATGTCACCACACTTCCTTCCTACACGTTACATCACAAATCACATGACTTCCTCAGGGATAACATAGTTACATAGCTAGTCTGGCTGAAAAAAGACAAAAGCCCATCTAGTTCAATCATAAAAAAAAGTTATAATCCTACACCCACAGTTGATCCAGAGGAAGGCAAAAAAAAACCCAGGAAAGCATGGTCCAATTTGCTCCTGCAGGAGAAAAAATTCCTTCCTGATCCCCTGAGAGGCAATCAGATATTCCCTGGATCAACTTTACCTATAAATGTTAGTATCCAGTTATATTATGTGTATCTAGGAAAGAATCCAGGACTTTTTTAAACCAATCCACTGAGCTGGCCTGAACCAACTCTTGAGGGAGTCTATTCCACATTCTCACAGCTCTCACTGTGAAGAAACCTTTCCATGTTTGGAGATTACATTTCTTTCCTCCAGACGTAAAGAGTGCCCCCTTGTGATGACCTCAGGGTGAATAGCTCTACAACCGAGATGAACCACTGATGTATTTATACATGTTGATCATATCCACCCCTTAATCTCCTCTTCACAACAGAGAATAAATTCAGTTCCTCTAATCTTTCCTCATAGCTGAGCTCCTCCATGCCTCTTATCAGTTTGGTTGCCCTTCTCTTTCTCCAGTTCCTCTTACTAATGATTTGTACAGGGGTAAAATGATATCTCTCTCTCTTAACCAGTGACCTCTTAGGCTTGCTGCCTGACAGAGTGACCATGTGGCTGGGCAGATGCCTGGATTTGGGGTCTAGCCCTCAGATTCTGGGGATTGAGGAGCCACAGAGGACCTCCAGATATCTTGAAGCTCAAATGTGGAGCTTGGACCTCACTGAAGTATGGAGTCTTCTACCCAGGGTACTGGCAACCAGTTTACCAAGTATTTTACAGTCAGGAACTACAGTCACAGAATGTCCAGTCGGCCTCAAGGCTCTATATCTGTAAAGATTGTAAGTACTTTTTTTAACCTTTTTGTGTAGTCTGCTAGTTCATAGGTGTTCTGTGAATCCCACAACATCCCACAGACTTACCTCCCCATACATATCTGGGAAGGAAATAGTGGAGGTTACATTCCTCCTGGCGGTATCCCTGAGGCTAAACAGCAAGTGATCTTCCCACTCACTCAAGTCCTCCTCCGCCTACACTCCCGAGTTCCTTCTGCAGCCAGCACTGACAAAGAGCGCTGGAGGGAGATGGAGGAGAAGGAAGGGCAGCGAGGGTTCTATGGAGCCGACAGGACTGTAACCTGTAAGAAGTGCACTGTCACTTGTACACACAGAAGTCGCGCTTAAGTGTGTACAAGTGACAGTAGTGAGCCGCAAGCACAGGGCAGTGCCGGAGGTGGCCGCCACCTGTTGGCTGAAAAAAAGCCCTGGCTTTTATTAATTTATGTAAAATCTTTATCCCAAAAGGAAACAAAAATGTTGCTGTACCTGCTTAAAAAGTGTGATTTGGAGTTTGGCTTCAATTTATTAGTGTACCTAAATCTGTTAGTACATATCTAATATTCCTCTTCCCCCTAGGCTGGCAGGGCTGCTGTCCAAAGGTGTCTCTGTTGCTCCTTCATTCAGAGTGGGGGCACTCTAATACAGCAGGTGTGTTATTGGCCAGATCACCAGGTGAAAATAAAGGGGAAAAAGCCTTAAAAAAACCAAAACAAATGCAGCCACCATATCGAAAGTTTGGTAAGCTGCAATACATTTTTGGTTTTGGGTTTATTACTGCTTTCATTCTCTCTATCTGATCTTACCCACCTGACCTCTGGAAGATTTTACACCCTTCGTGACCGGGCCATTTTTTTCGATACATCACTGTGCTGCTTTAACCCTTCCCGACCGCCCTATAGAAGAAATACTGCTACATGGTGGCACAGGTGCTCAAAATCACTTATACTGTATATATGTGATTTTGCATTTCTGGGTAGGAAGCATGCGCCCCCACCCACACCGCCAGTTGTGACCGCAGATGTCAGTCATTGGGTCGTGGTCAGTAATTACCCGCTGGCGCCCGATGATTACCGACGATCACCGACAGGAAGGAAGTCTGTTTTGTTTACAAACAATCTTCCTCCCTGTCAGCTCGGCCACACTGCTCTGGATGGCTGTCCACAGCACAGCCATCCCGATCAGTGTGCTTACAGTGAAGCACCCCCCCCCAGTAAAACACTCCCTACATATAGTTAACCCTTTGATCACCCCTCATGTTAACCCCTTCCTGCCCAGTGCCCTAAGTACAGTGTCAGTGCTTTTTTTTTAGCACTGATCACTGTATTGGTGTCACTGGGGTGTCAGTGATGCCAAGTTAGTTCCCCCCCCAGTGTCAGAATGTCCGCCACAGTCCCGCAGTCCTGCTAAAAATCGCTGATCGCCACCATTACTAGTAAAAAAAAAATCCCAGTATCTATACCGCTATTTGTAAATGCTATAACTTTCACGTAAACCAATTAATTTACACATATTGGGATTTTTTTTAGCAAAGACATGGAGCAAGAATACATTTCGGCCTAAATTTATGACGAAATTTGATTTTTTTTTATATTTTACTGGACATGTTTAATAGCAAAATGTCCAAAATATTGTTTTTTTTCTCAAAATTGTCAGGCTTTTTTTTTCATAGAGCAAAAAAATAAAAAATATACAGGTGATCAAATATCAATGAAAGAAAGCTCTATTTGTGGGGGAAAAAAAGGATGCAAATAAATAAAAAGGTGCAGCGTTGGATGACCACGCAATTGTCAGTTAAAGTAACGCAGCACCGTATCGCAAAAAATGGCCTGGTCAGGAAGGGGGGAAATCCTCTGGAGGGCAAGGGGTTAATACCAAATGATGGGTATTAATGGGAGGAATAGTACCCCATGTTTATTTTCACTGATGCTGGGCCCGGGACATTCTCTACCCCCACTGGTCATAATCCAGCCCTCCTAAAGTTTGAAGGACAGTTTGAAAAGTTTGCCTTATCCAGACAGCCATTAAACAGCCTTGTAATTTTGTATGGCATCCACTAGATGGCAGCAAAAGTACATAATGCTTTTCACATACAGCCCATCACAGCGCTCTGCATGGTGTGATCAGGAGGCTTTGTCCTAACAGTGACACCTGCTGGTCATTTGGCCTGCCTACATGCCCTGAGCCATCTTTGAAGCGCCCGGAAGTTTGCTGATTTCAGCAGTAGCCATGTTGGATCCTGGCAGAAGGCATTCAAGGTCTTTCAATGGTCGAGGGAGAGTTTTGAAGAACGCAGAAGTGATTATGTGACCGGAATCAAGACAGGTTTGAAGTTTAGTATTTTCTGAGGCCGATATTGGAGACTTTCAAACTTGTCAGCTGAAGGTCAGGGCTTATCACGTGACAGTCTGCAGGGGGGGGGGGGGGGGGGGGGGGGCTCTGGGAATGTGGCTGAGGGGTCTGTTATCACAAAATAGTCTGGTCAGGAACGTCCAACCTGCACTGAAATGCACTTCACTAACAGGCGCGCAGGGGGTGCCGCCACAATGCAGTTTTTTTTTTTGCAATCAACCAGCGTGGTGCCACTTAGGTTGCCACCTCATCCCTTTAAACCCGAACACATATTATTTACACAGATTCTGAGGCTGATTTAACCCCTCCCCCTCCAGAGGATTCCCCCCGTCCTTCCTGACCAGGCCATTTTTTGCGATATGGTGTTGCGTTACTTTAGCTGACAATTGTGCGGTCATGCAACGCTGCACCGAAATTAAATTTACACTTTTCCCCACGAATAGAGCTTTCTTTCGGTGGTATTTGATCACCTCTGCAGTTTTATTTTTTGCACTATTAAAAAAAAATACCAGCAATTTTGAGAAAAAAAATATTTGGGGCTTTTTGCTATTAAACATGTCCAGTAAAAATTTTTTAAAAAATCAAATTTCATCATGAATTTACACCAAAATGTCTTCTGCTCCATGTCTTTGCTGAAAAAATCCCAATACCTGTAAATTAATTGGTTTACGTGAAAGTTATAACGTTTACAAATGGCGGTACATATACTGGGATTTTTTTTTTCTAATAGTAATGGCGGCGATCTACGACTTTTAGCGGGACTGCGGCTGGCATTCTGACACTGGGGGGGACTGACTTGGTGTCACTGACATCCGCAGTGACACCAATACAGTGATCAGCACAGTGGCTAAATGGTTAGCACTTCCGCCTGGCAGTACTAGGGTCGTTGGTTTCGAATCCCAACCACGGCACCACCTGCCTGGAGTTTGCATGTTCTCCCTGTGCCTGCGAGGGTTCCCTCCAGGTACTCTGGTTTCCTCCCACACTCCAAAGACATGCTGGTAGGTTAATTGGATCCTGTCTAAATTGTCCCTAATATGTGTATGTATGAATGTAGGTTAGGGACCTTAGATTGTACACCCCTTGAGGGTTAGGGACTGATGTGAATGTACAATATATATTTAAAATGCTGAGTAAATTGATGGCGCTATATAAGTACCTGAAATAAATAATAAATAAATCAGTGCTAATAAAAAGCACTGGCCAGGAAGGGGTGATCAAAGGGTTACCTATATGTAGGGAGTGTTTTACTAGGGGAGGGGGTGTTCTTCACTGTAAGCACACTGATCGGGATGGCTGTGCTGTGGACAGCCATCCAGAGCAGTGTGCCCGAGCTGACAGGGAGGAAGATTGTTTGTAAAAAGATTGTGGGCGGCACAGTGGCTTAGTGATTAGCACGTCTGCCTTGCAGTAAATGGGTCATGGGTTCGACAGCGCTATATAAGTACCTGAAATAAATAATAAATAAAACAGACTTCCTCCCCATTGGTGATCGAAACGGCGGTATATAGATGATTTTTTTTATACTAGTAATGACGGTGATCAGCAACTTATAGCGGGACTGCGGCGTGCATTCTGACACTGGGGGGAACTGACTTGGTGTCACTGACATTCCCAGTGACACCAATACAGTGATCAGTGGTAATAAAAAGCACTGACACTGTACTAATGACACTGGGTGGGAAGGGGTTAACCTGGGGTGATCAAAGGGTTAACTGTTTTTCTATGCATGCTGTGTGTTGGTGCTTCACTGTAAGCACACTGCTGTGCATGGCTGTGCTCTGCACAGCCATCCAAAGCAGTGTGCACAAGCTGACAGGGAGGAGAACTGTTTTTGTTCTCACATTATATATATATATATGTGATTTTGCGCACCCGTGCCGCCCTGTAGCAGTATTTCTGCTATAGGGCAGTCGGGAAGCAGTTAACAGGCGAGCAGGGGTGCCGCCACAGCGCACGACAAACTGCATGGTGTCACACAATTTTAGGAAAGGGTCATGGGATTCTTTCTCTGCATAAGTACAGCGGTCCTAGCAGATGAATAGACATGCAAACGTGCCACATTACTGTGAACCAGAGCTAAGGGCCCATTCAGACTATGTTCCCTTTATACTAGCACATTATGTCAGACTTCCCTTTACCCCTGGTTCACATCTGTGCAGCCATGATATACAGAGATGAAACAAATCCTCCTACATAAGTTGTACCTGTTTATCTGCAGTGTTCTCTTCTCTACAGCATTTCAAAGTGCAGAACGTATAAAGTTTGTCTGAGAGTTCAGAAATAAGGGAGTGAAGAGCTGAAATTACACACTGCACAGCTCAGTAAGGAGAGCTCTGAGAGCTGATTGGATTGAAGAGATACACCCCCTTTTACGCAGCACACAGGAACAGAGCTGGGTTTGTCAATCTGCTAAAGGTCCCTCCACTGTCATTTTTTTTTCTATCCTGTCAGGAAATTGTGTCAGGAGTGATTCATGCTGATATCAGAGGAATAAAGCAGCAAACAGAAATGGCACTTGGTACTCTGGATTAGGACAAGCACACACTATAGATCAGGGGTGTCAAACTGGCAGCCCTCCAGTTGTTGTGAAACTACAAGTCCTATCATGCCTCTGCCTTTGGGAGTCATGCTTGTAACTGTTAATTTTGCAATGCCCCATGGGACTTGTAGTTTGGCAACAGCTGGAGGGCCGCCAGTTTGACACCCATGCTGTAGAGGGATGTGCTTTGTTCATATTTCATGTCTAAGGTTTACAACCAATTTAAAGCGGTAGTAAAGTCTTGATATACACTCATATATACTCATATCACACTGTATACCTCCAGGTAAGTTAACCGCTTTGCGCCGGCTGCACGCAAATATGCGGCCTCCTGGCAACTGGGCCTTGACGCCGGGAAGAAAAACATATGTGCTGAGACCCCAAGATCCAGATGACATCAGATTTGAAGTAAACCAGAGGTAGATTACTTTATTTGAACACAGATACAAGATATATACACTCAGGGGACAATCCCCCCTCCCTGCATAACGACACAGGGTGGGGTAATCTACATTTGGGCAGCACAGTGGCTAAATGGTTAGCATTTCCGCCTGGCAGTGCTAGGGTTGCTGGTTCAAATACCAACCACGGCACCACCTGCCTGGAGTTTGCATGTTCTCCCTGTGCCTGTGTGGGTTTCCTCCGGGTACTCCGGTTTCCTTCCACACTCCAAAGACATGCTGGTAGGTTAATTGGATCCTGTCTAAATTGTCCCTAGTATGTGTATGTATGAATGTAAGTTAGGGACCTTAGATTGTACGCCCCTTGAGGGTTAGAGACTGTTGTGAATGTACAATATATATGTAAAGCGCTGCGTAAATTGACGGCGCTGTATAAGTACCTGAAATAAATAAATTTACTAACAAGAGACACACAGGTATTCAAACTTCACACCAGCAGATAGTCCCATCAGGAGGGAGGGCTGCTGGAGACACTCCTTCACCAAGCTAATACAGCTAATAAGCCAAACCAGACACACAATAGAACAATGGGATGCAGGCACATAACATTAAACAATCAACAACCCCACCTACCTCCTAAACATGTCTACACAGTCTGAGACAAAGCCCACACAATGTTAGGACAGATCACCCTGTACCCCTAACAGGCACAGGGTGATATACACATAAGAGGGATATGGGAAGCTGAGACAGGGGTCTCCCCCACCTCTCCAAAGTGAGCTGGGTTCCATGGGCCCCCCACCCAAACTGACTCTCATCACAGAGCCCACTTGTTCCAGGAGAAAATTTCAGCTAGTCCTTGCAATGTGGCATTGCAATCAAAGATGGGTGGACATCCAGTGGAGGAGGCCTATTTCTGTCTATAGCTAAGCTTTACCATAGGTTCACACCTAAGCGTTTTCTGTAACATTTTGCAGAAACGCAGTACAGTCCATGTAACATGATTTCCTTTGGGACACATTCACATCTGTGCGCTTTCACCCAATGCGTTTTTTGGAAAGGGTCGGACTTTTTTTAATGCAAAAAGGTGCATTTTTTGTTCTATAGACTTCAATTGAAACGCTACAGAAACGCATGTATTGCATTTTTGATGCGTTTTTAAATCTGCCTAGCAACAAGAAAAATAAAAAAAAACCTTACAAAATGCATCAAAAACATGTAAAAAATGCAGGTGCAAAAATGCAATGCAGAAATGGCTCAACAGGTGTGAGCCTAGCCTTATAGTTCATAGAATCTAAGTGTTTCCCTTTTCTAACTTCCAGTAGAAAAATAGCAACTGGAACTGAAGATTGATTGATTTATTCTGTTGCCTACACAAATATTTTTCTTTAAGTGCAATGTTAATATTTTTATTATTTAAGGCCCATTCACATGGGCATTCTGATCAGGTGTGCCTGTCCACTTTTCAGACGGACCTGATTGGACGCTCCATGCAGATATATGGACAGGCGGATGTAAACAGACTTGTGTCCATTGGTGGGTGTACCACCTACCCAGGGGCGTATTTACCACAAGGCAAACAAGGCATTTGCCTAGGGCGGCATTTTTCAGAGGAGCTGCAGTGCCCCTATGGAGGAAGGGATGGAAGAGGGGACACATGCGGCTTGGGGAGCAGGTGGGATCTGAGAGATGCTGCGGGCTTCTTGACACTCGTTCCCGGGGATGCCCAGATCTGTGAAGGTGAGTGTCTTTCTCTCTCTGGCTGGGAAGGGAGTGGCCGGTGTATGCGGGCAAAGGTAGTGGAAGGCTCTCCCAGTTGGCAGGGGGTGTTGTTGGTCAATGTCAGGCTCTCTCCAGGAGAGGGGGGGGGGGGCAATTTAGTGTTGCCTAGGGCAGCACAAAACCTAAATACGCCACTGCACCTACCTCCGAGTCTATCCAGGTTGGAAAAAAAGTCCTTTTACACCCAGCCCCCCATAGAGCTGTCATGGGTCTGTCCATGTCCACCTGGCACAAACTGTGTTGGGAAAGGATGTCAAATAACTGCATCCATCCCAACCTGCTCACGAATCCCTTGCTGATTGGAGAGGACTACACTCTTATGTGAAAAGAGCCTTACTCTAATCTTCTTGTTACTTTGAATCTGTTTTCGTTTATTTTTACTGTTATATATTTGTTTTCACACTTTTACATTATAATTTCACTGTATTTTGCAGATTCAAATGAGTCTTCATCTGGCCATCATCTGTCGTAGACTGTGCACCAAGGTTCCTCCTAACTCACCCGCTGAAAGTCTTTGCTATGAGACGGAACAAAGGTGTCGGGAAGTTCTGAGCAGAACGGTGCTACCAGACAAAGCATCGGCAGGAGTTCTGGTGACGTTATGTACTTTCCACGGGGCCCCCGCCTTTCTCTACACCCTGCGCTCCTCCAAGCTGAAAGGGAGGCACAAAGGAGACATCAGGTAGGCAGCAGTCTACCTATACACTGTGCGGGAAATGAGCAAACTGTGTAGTGCTTCCAAGGACTTGTCCGTTCTACTTTAGACTTTTTCTTGCTCATTTTTAGTAAAAAGATTACAGAACACATATAGTTTTCCACAAACAAGTGCTCAGCCTTCTTGGCTTGCTCCTGCAGTGTTGCTGCTATGGCCTGTCAGAAATATAACCTCCTGTGCTTGGGTGTGGTGCTCAACTACTTCCAGTCCGGACACTTTTACCCCCTTCCTGTCCAGGCCAATTTTCAGCTTTCAGCGCTATCACACTTTGAATGACAATTGCGCGGTCATGCAACACTGTACCCATATGAATTTTTTAGCATTTTTTTGAGACAGCTAAAATTTTATTTTGGTGATATTTATTCACCACTGGGATTTTTATTGTTTTGCTATATAAATGAAAAAGTCCAAAAATGTTGAAAAAAAGTGTTTTTTCTTATAAAATTTTGCAAATAAATAATCTTTCTTCATAAATTTTAACCAAAATGTATTCAGCTATCTTTTTAGTGAAAAACAACCGAAATTAGTTTATAACCAAAAATTATAATTTTTCAAAAAATGTTTTTACATTTTTATTTAATTTTTTTATATTATTGTTTTTTTAACGTACTGTCACCCTAACAGTACAGTGTAACCATAGTGACACTGTACTACTTGTGGGGGGTGATGAAGATTTTTTTTTTTTGCACTTAAAAATAAAGGCTGTAAAAGCAATAATTTCTCCTTCTCTCTGTGTCTTTCTGAGAAATACTGTGCAAGCTGTGGTTGGTCACATGGTAGAAGGCTGTTGTGAATAGCCTTGCACCATGTGACCTCTGTGATCATTCACAGATTTCACAAATAGTAAGCAATGATGTCAGGAAGTGACATCTTACTTATGCAGGCCATAGAATATCGACATCACTGCCAGCAGCAACCACCGATTTTTCGTTTATCGGCCGATAAACGACCCGTCTATGATCACATGATCGGGGACCTCACACAGAGGTCCCATACAACGATCTGTGTTCCACTGTGTCCGGAGGACACAGAGGGCACCGGATTGTTGTGCTGTGCGTTCTCAGGGAGCGCGTATAGGCTGTGAATGCAGATGCCGTTTATAAACAGCCACCCACTCCTGCGCTGCTCCCGTCCGGCTGTTTATGTGCATGGGCTGGACGGGAAGTGGTTAAAGGATAAGTTCACCTTTGAAACATGTTACATGTTCCTCCGGTTTTTAGGGTGGAACATGTAGTATTATTATTATATCAGGTACTTATATAGTGCCATCAATTTACGCAGTGCTTTACATATATATTATACATTCACATCAGTCCCTAACCCTCAAGGGGTGTACAATCTAAAGTCCCTAACTTACATTCATACATACACATACTAGGGCCAGTTTAGAAAGGAACCAATTCACCTACCAGCATGTCTTTGGAGTGTGGGAGGAAGGTGGAGTACCTGGAGGAAACCCACGCAGGCACAGGGAGAACATGCAAACTCCAGGCAGGTGATGTCATGGTTGGGATTTGAACCAACAACTTTAGTACTGCCAGGTGGAAATGCTAACCATTTAGCCACTGTGCTACCCTATGTAAAATGTTCCCATAACCGCACCTGCCACCCCCCCCCCCTCCCTCTGACAGATAATATGGGGAGAAGTTTCCCTGTACTATCTATCAGATTTGAAAACGGCGTGTTTGTGCTGGGGGTTTCACACGGCCCCCGTCACTCATTCACAGAGATCTGTGAATGAGTGCCTACAAGTCCCGGCAGCCTTAGCGGCTATGGGCTTGTAGTTTTGAATGAACTACCATGGCGCTGTGGTAGTTCATTGAAGCTTCCTGTCAGTATATCTGCTTGCTTGTACATCCCGTACCGCAAATAGATATTCTGACAGGTCTGCAGGAGACCTGCATGGCATCAGCGATCTACTGATCGCTGGTGCAACGCTTTACAGGTTCCTTTGGACAAAATGTACATTTTTTTTTTTACCTGCACAAAATGTGCACTGATTATTTTTGTTCAAAAGGTGAACTTATCCTTTAACCACTAGCCTACAGGGCACTTATATCCCCTTCCTGCCCAGGCCAATTTGCAGCTTTCAGCGCTGTCACACTTTGAATGACAATTGCGCGGTCATGCAACACTGTACCCATATGTAATTTTTATCATTTTTTTGTGACAGATAGAGCTTTATTTTGGTAGTATTTAATTACCTCTGGTTTTTTTATTTTTTCTTAAACAAACCAAAACCCACTGAAAATTTTGAAAAAAAAAAGTTTTTTCTTAGTTTTTGTTATAAAAGTTTGTAAAATAAGTGATTTTTCTCCTTCACTGATGTGCGCTAATGAGGCTGCACTGATGGGCACTGATAGGCTGCACTGATGGACACTGATAGGTGGCACTGATGGGCACTGATGAGGAGGCACTGGTAGGTGGCACTGATGGGCATTGACAGGCATCACTGATGGGCACTGAAGGGCAGCACTGATATATGGCACTGATAGGCGGCACTAACTGGCACTGACTGGCACTGTTAGGCGGCACTGATAGGTGGCACTGAGGTGCACTGATAGGCGGGGCACTGATTGGCAGCACTGATAGGTGGCACTGATTGGCATTGATAGGTGGCACTGATGGGTGACACTGAAAGGCAGCTCAGATGGGCACTGATATGTGGCATTGATGTGCACTGGTAGGCACTGATATGTGGCACTGATGGGCACTGGCACGAGGCACTGATGAGCACTGACATAAGGCACTGATGGACACTGATAGGTGGCACTGCTGGGGCTACACTGATCATCAGGGCACACTGATCATCAGTGCCCTGATGATCAGTGTACATGTCCCCTTCGTGGAAAGCCGATTACCAGCTCTCCCGATAACCGGCATTTCCCTTGGACATAGCTGATCACATGATCGAGCCGACATCTTCGGCTCTTTCCGTGATCGGTGATCACGCTCCGCCAATCGCCGCGCTGCGCGCTCCCTGAGCCACGCATGCGCAGTGAGAATGGGAGGACATCACATGACGTCTTCCCAGAACAAGAGAACAACCTTGCCCCCATCATATTACTATATGGCAGGCAGGAGGTGGTTAAAGAAAGAAAAGACTCTCCTCTTGGCTAATCTTGTAGGTATAGCGCACAACCGTCTTTCTGCCTTCTCAGGACTGTGGGTATCCTTAGGCAAGCTATAAAACAACAAAAGAGAGGGCGCATGACCTAGTGCATTACCATAACTGAATTTTATTAAGCAAACAACAAGTGAATATTCACAAACGCATGTCATGCACAAGCATTTCTAGAAAAGCTGAAGAGACTGCCTCTAAATCCACCATATTTCGCTAATGGCATGTGAAGACCTCATAGCGTCCAGGAATGGCTGATGTATTTTGAGGGTCAAGGCCTCTTCCTCAGGACGCTATGAGGTCCTCCCATGCCATCAGCAGAGTATGGTGGATTTGGAGGCAGTCTCATCAGCTTTTCTAGGTTGTGCATGGCATGCATTTGTGAGTATTCACTTGCTGTTTGCTTAAAAAAATTCAGGCATGGTAATGCACTAGGTCGGTGCGCCCTCTTTTGTTGTTGCATTCATTGCTGCTTTGGCCCGGAGACTTCAGCCTTTTTTTTGTTATTCCTCAAACTTTCTTGTGCACCCCTGTACCTCCTGCTGCCTCCTTGCAGCCTTACAGAGACCTCAACTGTAGTTGACTCCCACCCAAAAAACCTGTGAAATCAGTGTGCAAAATGTGGACCCAGTATTGGAGGTTTCCTCCTCCCAAGTCTCTACAAAGCCTCCAATCTCTGAGAAAACCAAAAATTCAATTTCCTCTGTATGATACCAGCACCCCAGAGCCCCTCAACTTGCCTCTGTGAGAACCCTGGGTAACTCAAAACCCTTATCTATACCATGACAGGGCACCATGCTGTCGCCACTGGCTTCACCAAAATACAACCTATGTGATATTTTAGATTTCATGTGTTATTTTTTAGTTTTTGTGAACAGAGTCAATGCCTTTACTTTTGGTAAAGCTGAAATTTAATTTGCCCTCTCTGGTTCCTGCAATCAAAAAACCCTTTTCATGACCTTATCTTAGATCCAGTGACATCATCTTGTGTCTTGGCTTCTCTATGTAATGCACACAGATCATGGCTGGTGGGAGGGGCCAACAGGTTGTGTATGTTTTCCTGTCATATGATCCCACTCCCCTGTGTCAGCCAGCGCAGATTCAGGGGCGATAATGGATGGGCCATTGAAGCCTATGGGCGAAGTCGCTTCAGGCTTTGCTAGCCATTATCTGAGTGCACCCTTCTGGAATTCCACTTTAAAGAGCTCTCTCTGCTACTTGATCTCTGAGCACAAGAGGAGAAAATCTACTCATCTGCTTTAGCTGTGGTATAATTATTTTTATTTTACAACAGCCTGAAGTAAGATTGTGCTTCAAAGGTGGTTGCGAGGGGTGGGAGCTAAGCAAGCATTATATTTTATTACATTAAATATATAAAAGAAAATTATTTAGGCAAGTTTTTTTTTTTTTTTTTTTTTTTTTAAGGATAGGGGGATACAGTAAAGTAATTTAAAAAATATTCATATTTTATTTTTTTTTTTTTTTATGGTTGAACTGGGAGGACGTTTGTCTTTTTTCAGCCAGACTAACTATGTAACTATGTATTACTTACTCTGAATAGATTTTAATATTCTGATTTGTGTTTTATATTTTAAATCTTTAGTTTCCCAGGAGGGAAGTTTGACGCATCTGATAAGGACATCATAGACACGGCTCTGAGGGAGGCAAGAGAAGAACTTGGTGTGCCAGTGGTTCGTAGTATGGTTTGGGGTCCTATGAAGCCAATCACTGATTGGGTAAGAAAAAGAACTTCAGTATACTAGATTTGCTAAGTGCGTGTGTCAGTTTTATTACAGTTTAAATGTTCATTTTTTTCAATACCAGTAAAGGATAAGTTCACCTTTTAACAAAAAATAATAAATGCACATTTATTTTTTTGCAGGTAAAAATATGTGAATGTATTATTTTTTGTTTCTGGAGCCTGTAAAGCATTGCACCAGCGATGTAAAGCATTGTGACAGCTAGCGGGAGGGAGAACTAGCTGTCATAATGGGGATCAGGAGGGTGTGGAGGCTGGGCTATTGGTAACATGTTACAGTGGGGATCGAAAGTTTGGGCACCCCAGCTAAAAATTTGTATTAATGTGCATAAAGAAGCCAAGGAAAGATGGAAAAATCTCCAAAAGGCATCAAATTACAGATTAGACATTCTTATAATATGTCAACAAAAGTTAGATTTTATTTGCCATCATTTACACTTTCAAAATAACAGAAAACAAAAAAATGGCGTCTGCAAAGGTTGGGCACCCTGCAGAATTTATAGCATGGCACTGCCCCCTTTGCAAAGCTGAGACCTTCCAGTGTCATGGATTGTTCTCAATCATCCTCTGGGAAGACCAGGTTATGTCAATCTCAAAGGTTTTAAATGCCCAGACTCATCTGACCTTGCCCCAACAATCAGCACCATGGGTTCTTGCAAGCATAGCAGTTGTCTAGAAAATTGAAATGGTCTCTGAAAATAGTTGACGCTCACAAAGCTGGAGAAGGCTATAAGAAGATAGCAAAGCTTTCAGATGTCAATATCCTCTGTTCGGAATGTATGTAAGAAATGGCAGTCATCAGGAACAGTGGAAGTTAAAGCAAGATCTGGAAGACCAAGTAAAAATATCAGACAGAACAGCTCGCAGGATTGTAGAGAAAAACAATTCAAAACCCACGTTTGACTGCACGATCCTCCAGAAAGATCTGGCAGACACTGGAGATTTGTGGTACACTATTCCACTAATAAAGAGATACTTGTACAAAAATATGGTCTTTCATGGAAGATATCATCAGAAGAAAACCTTTTCTACGTCCTCACCACAAAAATCATCGTTTTACATGGCAAATTTGAACACATGACAAGCCTGAACATATAGAAACAAGCCATTTGACAGTCATGATGGAAACAAGTTCTATGGACCGATGAGGTTAAAATTGAACTTTTTGGCCGGAATGAGCAAAGGTACGTTTGGAGAGAAGAAGGGGCACAGAATTTAAAGAAAAGAACCTCTGTCCAACTGTTAAGCATGGGGTTGGATCAATCATGCTTTGGGGTTGTTTTGCAGCCAGTGGCACAGGGAACATCTCACGAGTAGAAGGAAAAATGGATTCAATAAAATTTCAGCAAATTTTGGATGGTAACTTGATGCCATCTGTGAAAAAGCTGAAGTTAAAGAGAGGATGGCTTCTACAAATGGATAATGATCTAAAACACACACCTCGAAATCTACGGGGGATTACATCAAGAGTGTAAACTGAAGGTTTTGCCCATGGCCTTCACAATCTCCTGACCTCAACATAATTGAAAATCTATGGATAGACCTTAAAAGAGCAGTGCGTGACAGACAGCCCAGAAATCTCAAAGAACTGGAAGACTTTTGTAAGGAAGAAATGGCAAAGATACCTCAAACAAGAATTGAAAGACTTTGGCTGGCTACAAAAAGCGTTTTACAAGCTGTGATACTTGCCAAAGGGGGCAGTACAAGATATTAACTCTGCAGGGTGCCCAAACTTATTTGCAGACGCCATTTTTTTGTTTTCTGTTATTTTGAAAGTGTAAATGATGGAAATAAAATCTAACTTTTGTTGACATATTATAAGAATGTCTAATCTGTAAATTTGATGCCTTTTGGAGAATTTTCCATCTTTCCTTGGCTTCTTTATGCACATTAATACAAAATTTTTAGCTGGGGTGCCCAAACTTAGATCCCCACTGTACATTTTATACACTAAATATGGGGTGTAACATGTACCAAAAGGTGAATTGATCCTTTAACAGATAACTTCAGAGAACAGTTGAGACAGAACATCGGCAACTGATTTAAATACATTCTTAAAATACCTGCTATAGTGTTCTGCTACCAAAAAATTTTGTAATTCTGCCAAGCCAGTCTTGTGATTGGGGTACTTTTGTGACAACACCTAAAAATCCTATTCTAAATTATAGCTTCCTTTCAATCTGTTCCATGAAGGTGCAGATGGACCCCAAAATTGCACTACTGAGCATTATTTCTGAGGACATCCCTACTGCTGAGATGCACTTATTATGGAATAAATCCCTGTATTTAGCCCGTAAACCTATCCTTCAAAAGTGGATCTCCCTTACGCCACCAACTTATAGTCAATGGTGTGATGCTCTCAATTTTAATTTGAGTAAGGGGTAACTGACTTGCAAGCATAGGAACTGTTCCAAAAAATTAGGAAAATATGGTCTCTGTGATTGGAGTTTGATTCCACATTCTCATCATTTATCCCTGGGGATGGTTGAGGAGAGTTAGAGATCTGTTATGTCAGATACTGAGTCAATTATACTGAAAAGTCTCAACGTTTTGCCTGCAACAGAGAGATAGGATAAGAGTTTTATTGATGTATTTGACCATACTGGTTCTTGAGAATCTTGTATATAAGTGAGTAATTTTACACGATATCTATATACTGTATATAAAAATATTTTCTGGCTAAAAGACCTATTGCCTCATTTATTGCACTCTCTCTTGTTTTTCGTTTTTGCTGTTAAAATATTTTCCAGATTTGTGCAAGCTGGTTTCGGCGTAATATTGTTTCAGATAACGTTTTTATATATATATATATATATATATATATACAGTTGTGTTCAAAATAATAGCGGTCAGACATCACTAACCTGATCAATCACTGTTTTTGGTAGAAATGATATATTTTCTACATGGCAAATAATTTACTAGCAGGTGTAGTAGAGTAATAGAAATCCAACAGACCCAACAGTCATGACATGCATGCTGCTGATTCTGTGTAACTTGAATCACTAATTGAAAGGGGCATGTTCAAAATAATAGCAGTATGGAGTTCTATTAGTGAGGTCATTCATTTTTTGAAAAACAGGTGGCAATTATTGCCTTTATTTAAGGAAGGAAGGCAGCAAATGTTTTACATGCTGGTTACACTGCATTTCTCTCTGAAATTCTGAGGAAAATGGGTCGTTCCAGACATTGTTCAGAAGAACAGCGTACCTTGATTAAAAAGTTGATTGGAGAGGGGAAAACATATAAAGAAGTGCAGAAAATGATAGGCTGCTCAGCTAAAATGATCGCAAATGCTTTAAAATGGCAACCAAAACCTGAAAGACGTGGAAGAAAGCAAAAAACTACCATTTGAATGGATAGAAGAATAGCCAAAATGGCAAGGACTCAGCCAACAATCAGCTCCAGGAATATCAAAGAAGGTCTAAAGTTACCTGTGAGTACTGTTACAATTAGAAGACGCCTATGTGAAGCCAAGCTATCTGCAAGAAGCCCCCGCAAAGTCCCACTGTTGAAAAAAAAGACATGAGCTGAAGAGGTTACAATTTGTCAAAGAGCACATTGACTGGCCTAAAGAGAAATGGCGCAACATTTTGTGGACTGATGAAAGTAAGATTGTTCGTTTTGGATCTAGTGGCCGGAGACAGTTTGTCAGACGACCCCCAAACAGTGAATTCAAGCCACAGTACACTGTGAAGACAGTGAAGCATGGTTGCGCAAGCATCATGATATGGGGATGTTTCTCATATTACGGTGTTGGGCCTATTTATCGCATACCAGGGATCATGGATCAGTTTGAATACATCAGAACACTTGAAAAGGTCATGCTGCCTTATGCTGAAGAGGAAATGCCCTTGAAATGGGTGTTCCAACAAGACAACGACCCCAAACACACCAGTAAATGTGCAACATCTTGGTTCCAGACAAACAGGATTGACGTTATGGAGTGGCCAGCCCAATCCCCGGATCTTAATCCAATAGAAAACTTGTGGGGGGACATCAAAAATGCATTTTCTGAGGCAAAACCAAGAAATAGAGAAGAACTGTGGAATGTAGTCCAATCATCCTGGGCTGGAATACCTGTTCACAGGTGCCAGAAGTTGGTTGACTCCATGCAACACAGATGTACAGCAGTTCTCAGAAACAGTGCTTATACAACTAAATATTCATTAAGTGATTCAAAGGAAAGCAAAATCTTCAAACATTTTTCAGTTTATATAGTGAATGTTTGAGTTTGTAAAGAAGAATACAAACACTGCTATTTTTTTGAACAGTCTAATATTCACTTTGCTTGACTTTTTTTAGAGGAACAACACAAATGTGATCTATTTTTCTTCATGTTTTGATTTGGAATAGAATGTGTGTAGTGTTCCCAATTTGTGTGTGTGGAAATAAAAGCTATTAGAAGGATTTTGAGCTTTATTCACTTTTTTCAACACACTGCTATTATTTTGAACACAACTGTATATAGTCTGTTGTTTTGTATGAAAATGCAAAAACACCTTAATAAAAATTACTTGATTAAAAATAAATTATAGCTTCCTTTGTCACTTACGTGCTCAAAGGATAGAGTTGACAAAGATGAGTTATTGTCCAGTGAGCAGCAGAGATGACAAGAAACTGCAAAGCTAAGCCAGGAAGCAGTTGTGCTGTGTTGCAAACCACAAGACTGACTGGACAGAATCACAGAAAAAGTCCTTACAGGATGTGAGGAACTGGATGTCTTCAACTTACAAGCCGACCTCAATGCACTGTTTAATTGGGTAACTATGTGGCAATGAGGTTTAATGTTGATAAATGTAAGGTTCTGCACTTGGGGGCTAAGAATATGCATGCATCATACATACTAGGGGGAGTACAACTGGGGGAATTAGTGGTGGAGAAGGATCTGGGAGATCTGGTAGATCACAAGCTTAATAATGGCATGTAATGCCAAGCTGCGGCTTCTAAAGTGAGCAAAATCCTCTCTTGTATTAAAAGAGGTATAGACTCCAGAGAGAGATA